ACAGCCGAAGGCCGAGAAGAGTCCGCTAGCAATCTCGGCTCGGCTGAAGACCGATAAGAATAGCCCCATGATGCGCCTCCATATGCTACATATCGGCTCGGCAAAGCGCCGACCGAGTAGGGTAACCGAACAAATACCTGTCGGCCCAGCCAACGGCCGAAGACGTCCAGCATCCCAAGCCTTTACCTGTTGGCTCGGCAATGAGTCGAGGGACAACACGGATTACGGTATTGATCGCGGTTAACAAGGACAAACACATGATTAAGATATAATCAGCCGATTAGCGTCATATTACCTAATTTGGTAAGCTTTAGAAGAGGCCCACTACTGACAAGGCCCATCAGAGGTAGTATAAATAGGTCACTTATATCGAGGTACGTCACTGTTCATTTATTACCCTAGAAAATCGTGCTTGTCATGACTTGAGCTTCGGAGTGCCTTTTGCAGGTACCTCCCCCCTTCAAAGGATCCACCTAAAGCTCCCGTTCGGCCCTTCATCACAGAAGATTACGAGTGTGCCCTCAGACAGGTACATTTTGGCGCCCACTGTGGGGTCAAACCGATAGCTTTTCAAAGGCAGACTGAGCACTACATTGAAGAGAATCATGGCAAAGACAAGGAGAACTAACGTTGAAGACCACCAGTCTGAAGATGAGCACCAGTCCGGGGCAGACAATGCCGAGACGGTAGACGAGACAAACCTGACCGAGATGGTACGCCAAATGAAAGAAGAAATGGCCGCCATGAAGCAGCAACGGGTTCAGTTTATTATATTTATTCTACATTATTATTAATTTTGTTTTTTTTTTCTTTGCTTAGTGTCGCTATGGGTTATATAATTTTTTTTAGCCCATCAGGTGTGGTGTTTCAGCCTATAGCGACAGTGGTCCAGCCCAACCAAGCCAAAAAAAAAAAAACCACGTGTCATGAATGTCGCTATGGGCCATACCCCAAAAGTGTAAAATGTTTCAAAACAACCCCATTTTAGTATTTTGTTTGTAAAACTACACCAAATTAGTCGTTTAGCCCCAAAAAAAAATTCTAATGAGACCTATGTTTGATATAATGAGACCATTAACATTTATTGGACAGAGTTCCATAGTCAAGTCAATTCTTAGTCACCTAACCTTTTGAATGTCATTGTCGTCATTCAAAATAGTTTTGAAAGCCAATAAAGAATCATAAGAATTTTGGTATTCATAGGATTTCATGTGTGACATAGGATTCTATACTGATGCATTCTTTTTTCTAACTCCTCTTTACTGTAGATCACAGTATAGTATTATTTTGACTTCAAATATACTTTCCTTTTGCATGGATTTCAGTGTGAGGGTAATCACCCATCATTGTGTCCATTTCATATCTTTTCTATTAAAATTATTTGTAGTTCAAGTTCATGCAAGAATAGAAAAAAAAATAACGAAGCTATCATAATCTAAATTAATTATCTATTAAAAAAATCCAAATTATTATTAGCATGTTAAGACTCCAAAAATTTATTTAAACAAAGTATTTGGTATTTCTTATCTTCATTGGACAGCCTAAATAAAATCTAAGTTTTAAGTCCATCAGAAAAAAAAATATATTTGTTATTAGTTTTTAAATAAAAAAGTACACATATTGTCAAAACATATTCAATATGTTTGTAAAAATTGTCTTCTATATTTAAAAAAGCTTTAACATATATTATTTTCATTTTTTTTTAAAAGTAACTCTTAAAATTGATTTTACTTCTTACATTTAGTTGGATCAACTTCATTTATCTTATGAAAAACAAAAACCAAGTTAAAAAAAAACTTTTATACAATCATCACTATAATATTAGATATCCAAATCTTTTAAGTGTCCCAACTGTTGTTCTAATGAATTTATTTAACCATTGTTTGTCTAAAAATATTCACCACAATTATATATAAAAGTCAAATTTGAAATCACTAATCATCCCTATCTAATCATATATAGGGGAATATTCTGCAGATTAAAAAAAACATAAAATATAACTTTTAAAAAAAAAAAATTATAGTAAAACCACATTGAAAGCAAATATTTGTTTGGAAGATGACAAGAATTGAGATGAAGGGTAGGGAAACATCAAACTGAGAAGAGTTATAGGTTGTGTTAATGCCCTATGAACAAATGAATAAACCAATGTTGAAGAAAGATAGCCCCAGGTAGTGTTGCAGAATGGACCCAGTCATCGAACTCCATCATTGTCTACTTTAAACATCATTGAAAGCACTGTACCATTCCTAGCACCTACCACTTCATCATCAACAACACATATCCATAGGTCCCTAGCTTACCTTCATATTTCTCTTTCACCCCATTAAAGTCATAAATAAATGTCTTGCATTGCATGCCTTGGAAATCAAAAGCTAGAAATGCCAAATCCTCATCCCAGATCCTCTCTTTTAATTCCTCCTTACATTGCATAATGCAAATATTCACAACAAAACGAAAATTTGTACAATCCATAAGACACTTATCGGGCCTCAGAAGCCAGCAAAGTACAGAAAGGAAATTGTATAAATTGTACTTCTTGTTAGGGATTTGCCAGACATGTTGATATTTATATTTATCTTGTTCAATCCAAGATTTTGATATCATCATTTGTTTGAATCACAGTACGGATCTAGATCCAACAATATTTGCATTATTTGGTTGCACATTGTGCATTATTTGAAATTTATATTTACTTCATCTGATGAGTATGTTTGGTAAGATCTTGGTTGAAAATTTGTAAATTAACTGATCACTTAAAAATTGAAAACTCAGAAATTTATAAACTAATTTATTAAATCAAATGTGTTTAATAAAATTAACTAATAAGTTAGTGGATGTAAAATAACATATTTATTTATTCAATAATAAACATTAAAGAATGACATGAGAATAAAATGAGTTGAAAGGAGTAAAAAATAATTTTAAATTAATTGATAAAGATAAAAAAAAATTAAAAACTTATAAATTAAAGTTACTTTAAATTTTCTTTTATATATATAAAAATGAGTTATAAGTTCTTAAATAAAATTTTGTACCAAACAAATTTATTTTTGTGAAACTAATTTATAAATTAATCAAAGAAACTTATAAACTTTTCCAATGACATTCAAAACACTTATATAAAATTAAGTTAACTTGATTCATTAACATAATATATTCATTTTAATCTTATATATAATTAAATTGTATATGTAAAAAATAAAAAATTAAAATTAAAGTGAATATTATAACATATTTAAAAATTAATAATATCGATATAAATATAAAATTAATATATATATATAGACTAATATTACAAGTTTCTAACATTACACAAAATTTTAGTTTAAATATATATATATATATATATATATATATTATTTATTTATAGTACCAAATTCAGACCCAAACTTAAACTTAGACCTATATCCGTCACTTTATTTGTAGATATATTTTGTTATTCATATTTATATTGACAACATTAAAATTTGAATTTAAGACTTTGTATATATTACTCTAATTTTTCACCAATAAATTAATTTTAATTAATAATAATAATTAAAAGGTTATTTTTAATTATGTAAATATAAAAATTAAGCTCAAAATTAACATAAAAAATATTATTTAATTATTTATACCGAGAATATTTGAAGTTTGGTAAGTATTTTATTATCAATGAATCTTTTCATTTTAAAGAAAATAGTGTCCATGACATACATAATCGGAATGATATGTAATTATTATGAGTTAATGTTGATCTAAAATTATTACTAAAAAAACATTTCACTCTCGTTGATAGATTTCTGGATAACATATATTTGTCCTTAATTTTCAATCGATAGTTTTGTGTCTTGTAATATTTTATGTTGTTAATGATTGTGCAAATTATAAATATTCAAGTTTATTTTTTATTTTGATATATAAAAATGTTGTGTTTCATATTTATTTCAAATTATAATTTATGAAAATTTGAACATACTTGCTAATAAGATTTTTATTTAGAACTAATCAAGTTGTTAGTCTTAACACTATTAAACTTAATTTTTTTTAAAATAAATGTCAATTTAAATTTGGTAGATAGACAAAAAAAAAACATTACTAAAGATGATCCTCAGTAAAATAAAGATCAGTGATCGACAAAATCTTACTTTAAAAAAATATAGATTTTCATTCTGAATTTAAATAAAATAATATATACAAAATTTTAATTTGAAATTTTGTTGCGATCATTGTGATTCTTATAAATAAATACTAAGTATACAACTTTTTTTTATTAAGATTAAAAAACTTAAGAAAATTTATATAATATATATATATATATATATAATGTGTGTGAGAGAATTAATAGTATTAAAGGATGCACCAACTTGCACACTCTTAATATTAAAAGTTGTTTTAAAAAAAGTAGATACCAACAAAATAAACTAAAATGTTAATGATGTAAAATTTCCTTAAACATTACTTTCCAACATTCTATAATTTGCACCACAGAATTTATGCATCATAAATAGATAAACAGATCCCAGTGATTACACTCAAAATTAACTGTGAATATTCTTAGCTCACAAAATACAAAAATAGTGAATTCCAATAATAAACTCAATTATTTGTACTATGAAACTAGTGTGTACCAACATACGTTGTTAGCTGTGACTTGGAGACATTGCCATTACTGTTCCATTATTCCATTTGTAGAGAGGCCCTCATGGTTTTTGTTTGAACATTAGCAACCAAAGGTACTACACTACTTCTATTACTATGGTGAAAAATTCATAATAAAAAATTTGCGCAACCCTTAATGTAATTATATACAAACATTAAATAGACAGATTAATTCAGCTGAAACATGTTAAGATAAGGACAACTAACAAATTGAAAAAAGACTGCCACCTTATGTCAGAACAAAACACAAAAGAACAATACATGTCGCTGTAATTGATTGATACCCCTAAAAAGTACTCTCTTCTTGATTAAAGACCTACATAAGAATTCAAGAGAACCATGATGAAGAGAAAAGTGCAGCAGAAACCATTAGGGGCATGACTCATAAATCCTGAAGAGGGTGTGGTGGAAATGGAATGATAAGTCTTGTTCACATCCCCTTCAAAAGTTGTATTAGATTTTTGCAATTTGATCTCTTGCTGGCATGGTTTTACCCCAAATGGAACATGACTTGTGGACATTACTTCAACAGGGTAGCAAAGGCTGGGGTTGTTCCAGGCCCCAAAACGTGTTCCCATTTTTCCATAAAACTCCATAGAGAATTTAAGCTCTCCTGCTAGATTGTTGCCACTAACATATAGTGCACTCAGACAAGGAAGAGTTGATAGTTTTGGTGAAAGTTTGCCTGTTATGTTGTTGTCACTAAGGCCTAAAAATCTCAACCTCTTCAATTCTGATATAGACTCAGGAATTTCCCCTGCCAACCACATGTTAGAGAGATCCAAAATTACCAGGTTATGAAGGTTTTGCCACTTTAGAGACCTGATATCTCCACCTATTGCGTTGTTGGACAGAACCATTTCCTCTAAAGAATACATCTCTTGAATACTTAAGGTCAACCCTCCAGAGAATCTGTTACTCCTAAGGTCCATAAGGGTCAGATTCTTAAGATAAGCAAATTCTTTAAGGAGATTCCCCTCCAAGTTGTTATGACTCGCATCAAGCTTCAAAAGGGAAGTTAGCCTCCCAAGAGTCAAAGGTAAAGTACCAGATAGTGAATTTCTACTTAAATCAAGTATTAGTAACTCACCTAGTGAAGTAAAAATATCTGGAATGTGTCCAGTTAAATAGTTACCAGCAAGAACAAGCCTCTTCAACTTGTTGAGGTTGCCAATATCTGGTGGAATTTCGCCCGTTAAGCCATTGTCTAATAGTACTAGTGACTGAAGGTTCCTGAGGACACCAAAACTTGAGGGAATTTTTCCAATGAGACCTTTGTTTGATCTAAATTCAAGTGATTCTAAACTGTCAGCCAGTTTTTCCCAGTTTGCATTGGGGATGGTAACTGGATGCTTGTGTTGTGGTTCAAAGCATTTGAAAAAGGATATAGCTTTAAGGTGCTTCAGTTCAAACAACTGTGGCCTGAATGCCAAAATTTTGCCACAACTTAGAGAATTGTCGTGGATTGGTCCAATGTTCAAGACAGTAACATACCAAAATCCATTAAACAGATCACAAGAGACCCCCTGCAGCAGAAAACAATACTAATTATTAATTAAACAATATTTGAAAATCATAATGTTCTGAAAAATTTATAACTTTTTTGTTGAATTATAAAGAATTTAGATTTCATGGCTTAATAGGCAATAAATATAACGGATACATGGTGCATGTGACATCTTACTAGGACCATTTTAACTTACTGATTTTCATTTTTCTTTCTTTGAAAGGTAGCACTGTGTGAAAGAAGCTTTATAGAAGTATTTTTAGACTCTGTAAAATTGATTTAATTAAGCCAAGTGAATTTCTATTCCTTTAGCATGCGTCAGAAAGCATAGAAGCTGAAGTTCATCTCAGAATTCTTTTATAAAATTTTCAAAGCCTCATTTACTTATAATAATGATTACTTGCTTAGCCTAAAATCTTTCATGGTCAAAAATAATAATAATAATTTGAAATGACCTCATGAAAGGATGCTCTCACAACTTTAACCAGAAATAGTTTAAAATATTCAACCCTTATCAATAGCACAGTATAAAGGTAGCTTCTTGAAAATTTAGCACATGATGTCAAACCATTCCGAAGGTAAAAGTACCTGAATAGGAGTCCAACCACAAGGATCTGGATAGAGATCTGAGCCATTCCACCAATCACCAACAAAGCCTTGAATGGTGGAGTATAGAGCATCCCTCTCAGCCTTCTTCATTGGAGCTGTGTCAAGTTCCACTTGTCCACAACACCTTGCACTCATAGAGATAATGAAGAGACCAATTATGGCATGACTAAAAGCCTTGAAGTTCCTCATGAGGTAATTGAGTCAAAGAAGCACAGGATAAGATGGATGAAGCAAAATTGATAAAAAAGAAACACCAAACAAAAGGTGGTAACTTGGCCTGAACTCTAGTTCTTCACAATTTGCATTATGATTTTCATAGACAATTCACTTCTCACAGAGACAACATCTAACAAAATTACAAGAAAAAGGACAGACAAAGGAGGAGAAAGAACAGGTGAGCTGCTCCCACAACAATAAAGAGCATATCTAGACAAAACAAGTACCAACTAGAGTGTCTGCGGAAAACTAGTGATATTTTGATAAAATAAAACAGATTGTGGCATCATGAGAGGAAGAACAGGATCCTGAAATTGTGTTGAAGCTGAACAGGAAAAGGAGGAGAATAATGGTAGTGGAAAAAGAAAAGCATAACTAGAAACCTGACCTTTTTTCTTGTGTTTATGGAAAAGCTAAGGAAGTATAATATAGCAGATAAAAGAGAACAACATACACGAGATATGTTATGTTAGCACAGTTCTCCAAGCTCAAAGTCTTAATATTAATGAGTCTAATATGACCAGAGCTGTAGCATCCAGCAAGTCACTGAAGGCCTATATAAGATGAAAGCGAAAGCTGGTCTGCAATTTGCACACCCTTTTTGATCCTGTTACTTAACATCACATTACAAAATTGTCTGTATAAAAACTAAAATATAAAAAATTATATATGAGGCTAAAAAAAAAAAAAGTTGACACGGGTATAGAATCAAAAGATAATTAAACCATTAGAGTTTAAATTTTATGCAATGAAAAGAAAAAATTCTACATTGTCTATAATCATAAGTTATGGTAGGTACTATTTTTAAAATAATAAACTTAATGTGTAACTTATTGTTGTTGTTATTATTTTGGTTGCAATTGTATCTTAGGGCATGATTGTTTAAAGCGAATTATGAAAAAGATAAAGAGGGAGGTTATTATTTGTAGATAAATGAAAATAATTGGCATGGGTAGGGGACCATGATGCATGCAAAAAATGAAAGGTGCATGTAAGTGCATGCAAGACAAAGTAGGCTTTTATCTGTTATTGCCTCGTTGTCTTGTTTGGTGGTGGTGGCCTAGCTAGGGGGTTTTAACAGCACTCTGAAACTGCAGGGGGAAAAAGGACAAGTGATCAGTGTCTTTGAAAAGTTAACTTAACCATATTGCTTCATTGCAGTTGGGTCGTAAGGACCACATTTTGTACCATAACAACAACACAACCTCAGAGTCTAAGGGGATCCTCAAAATTTGTAGCTGGGAAATAATTGAAACTATGTCTCAGCAAAAAGAGAAGATAAATTAGCAATAATCATTAGCTACCTCTTCCTTTTATGAACGGGAGAATTATTGCTTTGGCTTCACATTATTATACTTTCATATAAGAAGAAAATTTTATTGTCCGTTTGAAACCTCTTAGAAGTCCTAGAACAGACATTCTAAGTAGTTTGTGCACACTCTGTTAAAAATTTACTCAATTTAGTATACCATGTAACAGTATACAGGAAGTTGCTAATATATTTATATGAATTCAAACGATGATGCCTGATATTTGAACAGTTTCACAACAATCTAAACTGAATGGTTATGCAATATCTTAGGGAATGTTTGGACACAAATTCTTCACAATATACACGAATACTTCCCTCATTGAAGGGATTTGCTTCTGTTTCCTACTCTCAAAAAGTGTGTGAACTCTCTTTTTTCAATTTTCATACTGCTATCCAAACGATACTCAACTACTTTTGAATTTGTGTGAATCGGTAATTTTGGTACAAATTAACAATCTTGCATTATAGTAGTTGCAACTTGCAAGTTTCGTAATAAAGAGAGTAGATGGTCAATTTCATTTTTGAAACATCATCTTTTTTGTAAGTAGTTCTTAAAGTAAAAAGTAAAAAAAATAAAAATAAAAAAGTACTATTATAAATGAAGAAGATAATCAATTTCATTTTTCAGAGATTATCTTTTTCTAAGTAGTTCTTAAAGTAAAATAAAAAAGTACTACCATTAAATAGTTTTAAAAGTATAAAAAATTGCCTTCATACTCATTTTTATTTTTTTCAATCATAAACTCTAATAACTAAATCTTAACTTAATGATTGTAAAATTTAAAATTTGTTTTAAGATATTTGTGGACAACTTGATGTTTTTAGATTCATTTATATTTGTATTCAAATAATATTTGATTAGCGAAAATTATATTTTATGAATGTACATATTAGTCTTTAGTTGTCATAATTGAACATGTTTATAAAAAATATTATAAGCTATTATATACAACAAATTTGTTAACTTTTTATAATAAATAATTAAAAAGTAAAAAAGTGATACTTTTAATATTATAAAATTATGGTATACCATCGTTAAACACTCGTTGAACTCTATAAATATTATAAATTACACTAAATAAGCCACTTTTTTTTGTAATAATAGTTTTATAACTATTTAAAAAAATTATTAAACAACTATTTCAACCATATTTCAGAAAAACTAATTTTTAAAAATCATGTAAAACACAATCTCACTTATAAGATAATATTATAAAATAAAAAAAAGTTTGTTTCAAATATACTAATTCCATCAAGCTCTTACTAAACTAAAATACGTCAATTCACCGTGAATATAACTAAATTGTACTTCCACTATCAATAGATGTAGCTAAGTTGCTTGAATAACAAGAATATATTTGAATAATTTTTTTCATTATCATTAATAAGAGAAAAAAATATGAAAGGAAAATAAAATAATTTTTTTAAAATTAAAATTAGATTATTAACTAATTTATAGAAACTCCTTCATGTATGATGTTATTTCTTCAAAAACTTATTTTTAAATTGTACATAAGTTAATATTTTTTTTGTTATGAAAAAGTTTAGATTAAGATGAGATATTAAGTTTAACCAACAATTTCTTTCAAGATTTTTACTGGAATTACAGATTATTTATCACATTTTTATAAATAAAAAAAATCTTAGATTGTAATAACCAATAAATTTAATTAGTTGTAACACCCTCATAAGATTATGTAAGTTAAATTTAATTTATAAAAAATGATTTCATATTTCTCTTTATTTTTTTATAAGTGTTTATAAATAAGTTTATTTGAACAAGCTTTAAATATAGAATGATTGATAATATTAATTTGAATTTTGGATAGGTTTTCATTGGATGCTAGTGAGTAGAGAGTATTGCAATAATAAGTCTCCACTTGTAGGATAGAAGGAAATGAAAATAAAATCAGAAAAGGCTAAGGAATTGTAGCTAAGCCTATGGCCAATTAATTTGCCTTAAGCTAGGGTCTAAGGTAGGTTGACAAGTCTTTTTTTACCCTACATTTTCTCTGCCTACCCTCCAATGAGAGTAATTAAGAATAACACTATGCAGAAAAAGTTATTGATTAGTTTTCCCTCCCTTCTTTTTTCTTTTTCAAGAAAATATTCCGTAAATGATCGTGTGTAGGGTAGGGTCTAGGATGTTCACTATTTGCATTTAAGTGATCATATATTTTTTTACCAAAAAATTTTTATTGACCATATATATTTATGCAATTTACATTCTAATTTCAAAGAAGTTGTCCATGTTTACAATTTCTTTAATTTTTTATTAAGATGAATTAGATATTTTTAATCATTGTCTAAGATTTAATTATTTAAGAATTGTATGATAACTATATTTATACGTATAACTAATAATGAAGAAAAGTTATGTACCTGTCTGAGGGCACACTCGTAATCTTCTGTGATGAAGGGCCGAACGGGAGCTTTAGGTGGATCCTTCGAAGGGGGGAGGTACCTGCAAAAGGCACTCCGACGCTCAAGTCAAGACAAGCACGATTTTCTAGGGTAATAAATGAACAGTGACGTACCTCGATATAAGTGACCTATTTATACTACCTCTGATGGGCCTTGTCAGTAGTGGGCCTCTTCTGAAGCTTACCAAATTAGGTAATATGACGCTAATCGGCTGATTATATCTTAATCATGTGTTTGTCCTTGTTAACCGCGATCAATACTGTAATCTGTGTTGTCCCTCGGCTCATTGCCGAGCCAACAGGTAAAGGCTTGGGATGTTGGACGTCTTCGACCGTTGGCCGGGCCGATAGGTATTTGTTCGGTTATCCTACTCGGTCGGCGCTTTGCTGAGCCGATATGTAGCATATGGAGACGCATCATGGTGCTATTCTTATCGGTCTTCAGCCAAGCCGAGATTGCTAGCGGACTCTTCTCGGCCTTCGGCTGTATGCCGAGCCAATGTTAACGCCGAGGTTTGTGTGGGCATGGTTGGTTTCATTTCGCGTGGGTGTCTGACGGAACGGCATGTGTTGGTCCACGTGACCGATAGGATCTCTCCGGTACACAAGCCCCCCAGCCTTCAGGAGTGAAATGACGCAAAGGGTAAATTTTGTGTTTCGGTTGTGGAAATTAGTGGGAAATGTGGGGAGTCGTGACCATAGGGTATGTGTGTGCCTTTGGAATACGGAGGGTTGTTCCCTTTGAGGGGAGGCAAAGGGTTACAACTGCTGGTGGAATGCGAAGGGTTGTAACCGTTGGGCATTAAATGACGCATGCGAAGGGTTACAACGGCTGGTGGAATGCGAAGGGTTGTAATCGTTGGGCATTGATGACGCATGCGAAGGGTTACAACTGCTGGTGGAGTGCGAAGGGTTGTAACCGTTGGGCATTGATGACGCATGCGAAGGGTTACGCATTGTAGACCATTGGATCTAATTGATCCAACGGTGTGCAAAGGGGTATCGCGTTTGCCATAGTTGCAAGGAACGCCTATAAATAGGCGGGTGGTGGGGACCCAAAAGGTAAGCGTTTATTGTTTGCTCCGAGCCGAAGTCACATTGCAGTTGTAGCGTTCAAGCGTTCTTTCATCAAGACCAATCAAGCTCCACTTCTAGGTACGTTAACATGGCGGATGTAGATGTTGTTCAGATCGGCTCCTCTGGGGACACAGGTGATTCTGCCGGCACCGGGTCGCGAGCAGCACCGGACCGACACGATGCATCGGCCTCGACTTCCAATGGGCAGATAATGTAGAGTCCGTTTCCGGGTCTGAACCGTCGCAGAGTGGGAGTGACTCTTCGTCTGCGATAGTCTCTGATGGTCATCCGAGCAGGGGTGGCGGGGCTTCCAGGCAGTTTGCTCCCATAGGGACTCTTGGGTATTCATGGGTGCACGGGGAGGTTGGCAGCGTATATTCCCGGTATACCGATAAGAATTCTATTGTTCGTTTCATTTCGGCTGTGAAGTTCCTCCCCTTTCTCGAGGAAGAGGAGCCTTCCCCCATTTTCTTCCAGCCGTGCCGAGGCGACGGAGGGCCGAACCCTGACTTCGTATACTTGGACCAAGGAACATGCACGTACCAGTACTTTTATGTGTACGATTACATGTTCCGGGATTTGAAGGTGGCGCTTCCCTTCGATGATTACTTCGTGGGTATATTGCGACTTTTGAACGTGGCACTGAACCAACTCCATCCAAACACTTGGGCGGCCATGCAAGGCTTCCGACAGCTTTGTTTGGCAATCATCATCGAGCCAACCCCGCATTTATTCC